CGGTACCGACGTTACGTTATGTACCATACGTACACATTTATATATTATGTGTACAGGATTATATGAGAAAATCAGATCTTGCCTTGATTAAGACCATAATGTATATACTGAGTATATGAGTAGAGAGAGAGAGATATAAATGATTATATATATATATATATATAGAGAGAGAGAAAGAGGAGTGAGTGGGTAGTTGTAGGTGGATGGAAAAAGGGTCTTCTGCATCTTAGGCGGTGCGTCGCCATTTTCTTTCGCCGCAATGGCAGGCTGGAAATTAATTATTTCTTTCATTAGCAGAAGTTTATTAATTAAGGAAGCGTCTTGTTGTTTGCCTTCGCGTTATCTCCGCGCTTCGCGCCCCCTTATCCGTCCACCATCCGGGCGCTCTTTCAGTCCCCTTCCACCAACCCTTTCGCTTCCACTTTTCGCGAAAGCCCTTTTCAAAGCTCAGCGAACGCCGCCCACCCCATCATCTTCTTCCTCGTTCCTTTTCTCTCAAATGGGAACTTTAAGAAACGAAATTAATTATGTATTTATGAATTAAATATTCATTCCGCTTCGCAAATACGTACTCACTGTCTCCGCTCCGCTCCGCCACCCACGTCTCAATATTAAAAATTATTTACAATCCATCTCTTGTCTCCGTCTGCTTATTCCGACGTTTCAACAAACGAATTCAAGTATTCATAAATAATGACCTAACGTATTTTCATCTTGATAAAATAGATACTAACCTTCCTGTTCGTATTAACGTACATTTTTACATTATCTATTTATATATTTCATTTATCAATTCCTTTAAAAGTGATGTAATTTTTTTTTCAATTTCAATTTCCAAAAGGTTTGTAACATTAACTTTATAATTAAATGATAATATCAGTTGTTTCGAATGAACAAATGAACAGCTATGTATCAAAATGTCGTAAATGTATGCAATTATATAAGAAAAACAACATTTTCTTGCAATTTAATTAAAATATCTATTAGTACGTTCATACGAATGAGTGTGTATAAAAAAATGTATTAAAGCCATGCGTTTATAAGGGAATTCACCGTTCGATTAACATAAACAAATGTGTTTATCTATTATTCATTGTGTATGCATTAGATACATTAACTGAACTACGAGTGTATTTGGTTAAAGGTAAATAACAATTTTCGAGCGCGCCAATTCGCAAAGTGCGTCGGTCTGCCACCTGTAATTACACTAATTCTCCTATGCAGCGGCGCGTCGTGTTGTTTCAACTCTCCCGCCGTGGGATTTGCACTGTTTGAATGCTTTTTGAAAGATTAAAACCGCTGGGTTTGTGTGTTTTTCGAATTTTTCCCGACCTGCTGCAAGGTATATGCACGTGTTATGTGTGCGCTCGCGAAGTAAATGAATGGATGAATGGCTAATAACGCCGGGCAGAGATGAAAAAAAAAAATAATAATGTGGAACGACGAGGGGGTGGCTTTGCTCAAACACGGTATTAATATGCAGTGTGCACACATTGGCAACGGGATTTTGTGTCGTGTCAAAAAGGCGCAAGCTAGAAAATAGGAACGGAAGAGCCGGCACGCACATCCATACCTATCAGTCTGTGTGTGTGTGTGTATGTATTAAGCATATATTTAATGTTTGCAGTTTGAATCGAACTGCAATGTTGAGTATAATAGGATGTGCATGTGCGCGAGGGAGAAGACACGTCGATGGATGAATGGTGGAGGGATGAGAGAGACAGGGATAGTGATGGCGCTCGGGGGCGGCGGCGTCGGCGTCGCACTCCACGAGGACGGCCGACGCCGCCGTCCCAGCTCTCCTCTCCTATATAGCAGGTAACAGTCAACAGGGCTCAAATATTTGCAAATCCGTCTCAAATGTAAATATCCTCATCTAAATCAGCTGGATCTGTTGTTATTACGTCAGGCGATGCTTACATAATCTACCCTTAATTTGATACATGCCCTATTTGTTATTTCCATTGTACACGCTCATGTCAGGAATGCCAAAGAAACAAAGCGACAAAAACGAATTGAGTTTAACTCTATACACCACACGTTAACTTAGCACTAAAATGCATCAGTAACTCCAAAAAGTTTATTTTGTAATATTAGTATTAATCAACTAAATTTCTTTTACAATCTTACATCAGAACCAAATATTAAGCCAGTTACATATTTCTTTTGATAAATACAAATTACAATTGTATTCTCAAACATAAATCATACACAGATCAAAACCAAAAACTATTTTTTTTTCATAAAACTGTATTAAATACTTATTAATTTATTTGTACTTAATACTAAAATATTTCGGTTTATGTTATGTTGTTTGTTAATTATTATTTCTTGTGGACAACTTAGAGCTAATATTTAAAAATGTTGACATACATAATATATGTATTTATGTCATCATATTATATTTAATTATTTGTTGTGATAATAATTTTGCTGATGTATATGTTTATAAAGGAATCTCTACCGTGATCCCGATTCGAAACACTTTAATATAAACAAAGGGGATCAAGTGTAAACATTCCCATCTATACTCCCTTACCTTTAAGTGCTTATTATAAACACATAATAATCATTACACGTACAATCGTAATCGATCATATTTTTCATATAAACTAATGCATATTTTGTCCCGGTCTTATAATAAACAAAACCATCAAGACCAATTCCCGTGGGAACGCTTAATCATCAATATATACAAAGCCTTACTCCCAATCACAACTCTCACCCCGTATTAATAAGAATTAACTTTGAAAGTAGAATAAGTATTTAGAATCAGTCTCAGTAAAATCTTAATAAGATGAACATAGTCTTATAACAATTTTAATATGATGAGCATAGTCTCAGATAAATCTTAAATCGACCAAGTAAAGAATAAAGTTATGTAAAACCAATTGAATTATATAATTCCTACAACTGAGGCTCCACAACGACAATACCAGACAATATTCCACTGTGTCCAGAATTCCGTCCCTGGGGCACGTCTAACATAACAACATAATTAGTTATTTAGACACCAAAGTACTTGTCCAGTAATTTTTTGAATATTACGTATTGTGTAAATTTTCACTACTTTCAACTAAAATAATATTATATAATATATAATTTAAATAACCTACAGCAGTATTTGTAGCATTCAAATACAGCTTTGTATAAATATAGGAACATATATATTATGTTTATTAATTATTAAAAAAAAATAATTACTATTAATTTAAAATGTGGTTCCGCCCGGGATCGAACCGGGGACCTTCTGCGTGTAAAGCAGACGTGATAACCGCTACACTACGGAACCAACTTATATAATAAAGCATTTTTTTTACTCAACGACGGGAATTCACTAATCTGTACAGAGATATAAAATAGCTGTTTCCGCCCGGGTTCGAACCGGGGACCTTCTGCGTGTGAAGCAGACGTGATAACCACTACACTACGAAAACTATATAATACTTTAGTTCATGAAGAAATATCATTAAAATAAGTAAATTTCAATTTCCTATCCCCATATTTCTATAAACTAAAATACAGACGCGTTTATGGACTCAGTGAGTAATTTATGAATTGTTTGCATTTCTATTAATAGGTTTAATTAACACAATAAATAGTGCATCTCTTATCTCGAGGTTTTCCAACTGAAATCTGCTGTTTTCACAGACTGCTGTGCTAACATGTGCTAAAATATACGGAAAAAAAAAATTGGATGATCATTTGAGTAAAGTTAATGAAAAGATGGTTAACTTTCGCATCAGGATTTTCCGTCTACCATGATGAATCATATTTGTGTTTTGCATTAGGAAGTTTTGCGTGTTTTACAACAATAAATAAAAGAGAGAAATCTAGAGGTAACGCAATAAAAAAAATAAAGAAAAGGAAGGTGGTCGACGAGAAACGTAAATGCGAATCAAAATATTTGATGTCTAAGTCCCCCACAAATACACAGACTGAGAACACACAAAAGTGTGCTTCCAGAGTAGTGAGCTCAGTTTGCGATTAACGAGTATTGTGTACGTGTTTTATATACGCAAACAAAAAGTTTAAACTGTGTGTAAAGTTACAAATTTGATATCTAAATATTTAGTGGTTACTATTTATTTTATCCACACAAACGTACACAGAACACGCGCATTCGTCCACACTCAACATTTATGTATCGAGCCAACATGTATTTATTTGCCAATGCATAATATTTTCGTTTCCCCCCCATACTTTCTGTTTTTTTTTTGGTGCGGAATAAAAACAATATTATAGCAATATTTATTTATTTAATATGTCTATCACAGTCGCATATGATAGGTGCGTGGATGAGTTTAACGCTGAAGGGTATTGAAACCATATTTTCCGTTATCACGTTATCGCCATTATCTTTATTATTCCATTATCGGCCTTTGCCCTTCTTGGAAAGCTTCCAACGGAAACACCAAGAGTTTTTCCAAATCCGAAATGCACACACATTCATACGAAATTAGTGTTGTTTGAGGGACGTTTGCTTAGTAGTAAACACGGAATCACACTACAGTTTGCGTAATCATTAGCTATACACATGTCTATTTCTACCTATTGATTTTGTTTAAATAACTGTGCAAATAAATCAATAACGGGTTTGTATTCTCTATTTAACAGCGCGGTTAAGCATGAGATATATGCAACCCTTTTAGAATAAATCATTCTCTTTTAATATTCAATGAAATTTCTATGAAATAGACAAAAAACAATATAATTAAACAATTAATTGTTGTTATATATTTAAATAGTGCACAGTATTGATCCTTGCGGTATACCAAAGTTAAGATCGAGACCTGTGTGGTACTAGAACTTAGGCAACCAACTTTGAAAGTGTTAAGTTTTATAAGTATATAAGAACGAGACTAGAAGAGTATTATCAGCATATTAGTAAATTTACTCTATTGAAATACATTTTTAGAATATGTTTTTAAAATAAACACATTTTCTAATAATAGCAGCATATTTACGTAAAGAGGAAATTCGTATAGTTGAAACACATAATATTATAGGCAACCAACAAACCAAACTGTTCGGTAATTGTCTGTAAATCATATAAACATAACCAAAAATTATCCCATATTTATCTACACTGGAATGTCTTAAAAATAGAAGTAAGTACCAAGTTTTTAAATGCTCAACTTTATAAAAAGAAGTAAATGCTACTTATAGGCTATGTTGCGTTTAAATCATATTTGCGCCAAGTTCGCACCAACAATCCGACAGAAATCAACAAATGTCTTAGAGCTTCTTAACAATCGTAGTCTAATTCAAGTAGCAGGAAATGAAGTTGCAGATTTTTTGCAAGGGTTAATAACCAATGATATTAATCACTTGAACAATGGGAATGAAAGTATGTATGCTATGTTCTTGAACACTAAAGGTCGAGTGATGTATGATACATTGGTGTATAAAGGAGTAGAACCAAATTGCTATCTCTTGGAATGTGATTCTGAGATTGTGCAGTCACTTCAGAAACATTTAAAATTGTATAGGGTGCGCCGGAAGATTGACATTAAACTTCTTGATGATAGTTGTATTTATGCACTGTTTGATGCTGATCAAAGCAGTAAAGAATCTCACAAGTCTAAAGGTTTGGATGGGATCATAGTCCCTTGTAACACTCTCAACGAGACTCAGCCTTATACAGTTTTTAGTAAGCACATTGGCGATATTTCTATCTACCAAGATCCGAGGATAATCGCGTTGGGATTAAGGGTCGTCGCTCCGAAAGGATACGACGTGCTTGGCGAAATATCGAATGGGACAGATGTAAAATTGGAGCAGAGCAAGTACAGGGAGTTCAGATACCACTTGGGCGTGGGCGAAGGAGTGACTGATTTACCACCAGGCAATTGTTTACCTTTGGAAGCCAATTGTGATTACCTTCATGGTGTTAGCTTCCATAAAGGTTGTTACATTGGGCAAGAATTGACTGCGAGAACACATCATACTGGAGTGGTGCGGAAACGATTGATGCCAATACATTTGGACAAACCATTGGAAGATATTCCTGAAGAGAAAAATATAGTTTTGGATAAAGTGAACCTTGGAAAATTCCGAGGTTCTGTAGGATGCACCGGACTAGCACTACTTAGGATAGCTCAGGCCATCGAATGCCAAGGAATCCCTATTGGAAATAGTTTAGCGACTACAGGAAAACCCACGTGGTGGCCACTCGAGGCTCCCAAAGAAAAAATGAGCGCATAAATGAACATATTAATAAATTGTTATTGTTGAATATAGTAGTAGTTTTATTAGAGGATTTATTTTCAGCCGATGGAGGGCGATAAGGATAAGGCGAGCGAAGAAGAAATCAAAGAGTTCACGTGCGAAAATTGCATGCTTCGCGAGAAGTATGAGTATTTCGGGAAAGAACCACCGTACAATAGGAAATTCAAGTATTTGGAGGAGGTGTATGCTATCGAGAACCCTTTCCAGCCACCCCGGCAAGGAGAAATATTAATTTTAGGATCGCACTGCATCCAATGCAACAAAAGCGTTTGCAAGGATCAACAGTGCAGCTTCTTTTACGAGGGCACATACTGTATACAATGTGCGAAAGGAAATGAAATGGCTTTTCCCAAACCGGTGCAGGAAAAGCTTAATAAAATTGTTCTTTAGTAACATTTATTCTTTAGACCTAGGAGCTACTTTGTTGACAAGCCTCTTCTTAGCTAACATTCCTCTGTCCATTCTCTTCTTCTAAAAATGTAAAAAAAAATTATGATCATTTGAATCTATCATTTTATTATATATATTTACCTTGGACTTCTTGTCTTGTTTGAATCCTTGATAATCCATATTTTCTTTTTTAACTCTTTGTTTTGTATCATTTCCAAAGTTATTTGTTCGTCGTTCCTAAAATACATAAAAAATAAATATGTATTTAATTCTGCTTAAATTTAATTTTACCGCTCTGATCGCCTTTTTCTCCCTTTTCTTCTCACTCTTGTTTCCACATTGGGAAATCCTTAGAGTCCTATTATCAATTTGTACCTCCCCCATGTTCAGCGCCAAATGCACAGAATCGGCTGATTCGAAATTGATGTATCCAAAACCTTTGCCGATATTCGTCACCTTATCTCGAATTAAACGGACACTGACGATTTTTCCACAAGGCGCAAAAGTTTCCCACAATTTCTCCTCTTCAGTAGCTGCAGATACATTTATGATAATAAGTGTATTTAAAGTAGATAATAATAGACTTACTGAAAGATATGTTTCCAATGAAAATTGCATTGGCCTTCTCTGGACTCTTCTCTGCATCACACATATCCACTCTCAAATGCTTATCATTCAATAAACTTCCATTTAACTCGATTGCTTTCAAGGCACTTTCCCTTTTGTCATATCTAGATCACAATAATCAAAATTGGCATGTTAAAAATAACAAAAAAAAAATAATACTAACTTGACGAAAGCAATCAAAGTTTCCCTTTTATCATGATATTCCTTCTTAATAATAGCCACTTTCTTCGGTGTACGGACGTCCGCAACAGGGGCTCCCCTGAATCTTATATTTTCGATTTTTCCATACTTGCTGAAAAGCCCAGTAAGTGTTTTCTTGGAAACATTCACATCAACATTTCCAATAAAAACAGTTCTATCGTTATCTTCATCAACCCAAGCTTTCTTCTCCTGATACTTTAACTTGGTCTCTTTACCTTTAATTCGTTTTTGAGCATTATTCAGAGGTATATCAGATTTTGTTTTCTTTGCATCTGGTTCTTCATTTTCATCATCTACATGATATCTCTTGAGTGAACCATTCGGTAAGTCATATGTTGAATTTATTTGAGACTTCTCAGTCTCAAAGTTCATTACAGTATCAGTTTTGATATGCTCCAACTTACTATTTTTGTCATTTCTCTTATCATTTTGTACCTCATCTTGACTTTCTTGTTTCTCTTCAGTTGGATTTTCTAATTTGGATTGATTTTCAGCTAATTTCCTTAATTCCTTACGTTTCAATTTTTTCTGTGGTAAAACTTCTTGTGGCTTTTGAGCTTCTGCTTCAATTTTGGCCAATTTTCTTAATTGCTTCTTCTTCAGTTTCTTGGGGGGATTATTCTCCTCACTTTCATTTGCTTTAACTTTTTCTACAGATGTTTCCAATTTCCCTTGATTCTCTGCCAACTTCCTCAGTTCCTTGCGCTTCAATTTCTTTTTTGTTGGTTCTTCAACTGGCTTTTGCAGAGGGGTATTATTGCTCTCATTTGCTTTACCACTTTCTACAGACTTTTCCAATTTTGCTTGATTTTGTAATTTCCTCAGTTCCTTGCGCTTCAATTTCTTTTTTGAAAGAGCTTCAAGTGGCTTCTGCAGTGAGGGACTCGTTTTGTCTTTTGTTTCAACACTTTCCACTGGCTTAGCCTTCTTAGGTTTTTCAGGAACCGGTATAGTTTCAAATTCTGGTAATTTAAACTCCTTCTGTACAACCTTCTGACCTCCTGCCTTAATGCCAGATATAAGGGAACCCAAACTGCCTACGGAATACTCCATCGTCAATTAAATAACACTTTTCTGTAAATTACATGCGGTACACAATGCAAAGCACTAGATTTTGTTGGTTATGTTTCTGTTGTGGATTTCTACCACGCGAAGTTTGAGAAAAAAATACTTTTAGCAATTATTAATTTAATTGAAATATACTAATATTAAGTAGTTATAGATTAATAACACTTTTTGTATAAGATTTTAGTTTGCATATAAACATTTAAAAATGTGATAATTGTAACTTTGGTTGCGTTTTGTCTTGTTAATTTAAATTACAGAAATATTAATATAAATTTATTACAATTTCATTATGCTTAATTATTGTTTATATTAGTTTTATATAAGAATTTTTTGTATAAGTCCTATGGTCGGCTTATTGACTTCTGTGAAATGACTTCTTGTTTCATTATTGTATTGAAATGTTAAATTATGTTTTTTTTTTGTTTGTAAAATTTAAAGGATTTGAATAAAATTTTCTTCGTCTATGATCTTGAATTTCAAATCTCTGAAGTTCATCAGATCACAGATCAAACATTGTATGCAATGTAAAAACAATTTAGTCATTACCGGTGGAATAGGCTTTAGTTTTGCCGTCTTTGCCAACATATCATAGTAAGCATTCTGATCAACACCCATCAAATGGGCTTTCCGTTTCGTGTAGCCCTTTGCAATTCTCTCTTCCATGTCGCTCTTTTCGTCATTCAACATTTGGTCAAAGTCGGGAAGCTTCATCTTCTCATCCAAATAAGCAGTGAAAAATCTCGCCTGCAAAGAAAAATATTGTAATTGATATAGTTATGGAGTAAACTGATTATTTTACTTGTAAGTCGAACATTTGCAAGGCGCACACATTGAACGGAATACCAATTAAACACATCGTTGGGTATTTGATGTTGATCAAATGCTTGTACAAATGTTGAACGTAGTTTTCGGTGATTGTAATACCACACGATTCGTGCAGGAATGGATAGCTGTATAGGTATCCTAGAAAATATAATTTAATATATTTGTCACAACATAATTTTGATATAATTTACCAGTACAATAGATAATAGCATCTATTTCTTCAACAGAACCATCTATAAACTCCACGGTGTTCTCATTCAGAATCTTCTTGATGTCACATCTTTGCTCCACGTTATCCGGATATTTGGATTTGATATCGTAGGTGGAATGATGACTAAATATTACCTGATCATAGAATACACCATTTTATTAATCTAAAGAGTACAATTTTGTAGTATACTTTAGTTGCAACTTCTGAAACGTTGAGTGTGATATCGAATCCTGAAGGTCCTGCTCCCATTACAATGACTCTTTGTCCTTTATACCGTTTGGGTGATCTGAACTGATGGCTGTGAGTTGCCAGTCCTGTGAACTTCTCGATTCCTTCTAAAGTTGGATAATCGGGCTCGTTGTAAATACCGTTGCAAATCATAATTGCGTCGTACTCATCCTCAATTTCTTCCTTGTTGATTTTGTTGATTGATCTCACGATCCACCTGTTGCCTTCCAAAGGCTTTATTTCAACAACAAATCTATTGAACTGTGAACATACAGATTGTTTTTAAATTGAATTCTTGTAATTGAATGCAGTACACAACCTTGATGTGTGGCCGCAAGTTAAATTTATCGGCGTATTGATGAAGGTAGTTGAGAACTTCGGCTTGTGTTAGATAAGAATTTTCTTTGTCTGGAAATGCAAGATCTGGAAATGCCATTATTTCCTTTGGCGAATTCGTTCTGTAATTCATAAATTTATTTATGAAAATATTATTTTTAGCTGTGTTCAATTGAATAGTAAAGTTGAAGTACAAAATTGTAGGAAGAAAAACGTATGTCGATAGACTTTTGATCGAAGTTAGGACCAATATTGTTTTTAATGATTAAAAATAAGAGAAATTGAAACTTCATTAAATCGTTATTAATCAAAACTTCATTATCATTAAAAATGTTATAACTCATGAGTGACGATGAGAAGAGAAGATTGCTCGCCTACTACATCATTTCTATAACTTGTGTACACATATTATGTGTAGTTTTCAATATGAGTATTTCACTATATAAGTAACAATCCGGAAATTTTGGAACGGATTAAACTCCTGAAGCGAGGTTCCACTGTATTAAAATTTTCAAATTATATTCCTTCTCTATTAAATTCTATATTAAATTGATTATTTCATAACATATTTTTGAAACTAATACACAATTTTATCGGAGTTGTAAAAAGTTTACATTTTTATTGAATAATTATTTATTGAAAAGTTACATAAATACCTGAGATTTTGGTACATTGCCGAATAAATGGGAAATCCATATTTGTCCGCTCCAACATCGTCCGAGTATATCCAGGTACCACCTAAGTCTTCCTGGAGTTCCAAGACCTCACAGTCGTGTCCACCCTGGATGATATGTTTTGCAGAGGTCAAACCAGCAGCACCTGCCCCAATAATACCGACACGCATCTTGAACTTCTTTTGGAAGAAATTATAGAACCAATATTAATCGTAAGTTAATAAGCAGTGAGCACAGTTTATCTCTCTGTCCAATTCACAAAAGTTTGCTCTATACTCTCAAGGTTGTATATTTTAATTGAAACGCGCATTATGGACGTGATAACATAATGTTATTGCAATCAGAAGAAAAATAATAGTTACACTTTAACATTAAACGTCAGCATTTTTAGTAGATTTCCAAATTTTTGTATTGATGCAAACTCATAAAGAAACTTTTATTTTAAATATTTGATTGTAGTATAAATAAAATTAAACTATTAGAATTAATTATAAGAATATCCAGGAAAAGTCCACTATTGTCCTCCTAACTATCCTTAGTTCCTACGTTGGACCTTCCCAAACTTAAGGATATGAAAACTTTTAGCAATTGTTTAGTTGAACGATTGGTTGTCTAACTAAAATGCCAATTTTAATTTAAAATTCTAGATATAAGAGAATTCAAGGCCCCTGTGTATTTGGCTGTCTTGGAATTCTTAAGAAGATCCAAAATTTTGATCTAGCATTTACTCGGTATAATGGTATAAGCTCACCATCATTTTTTCCGAGACTCAACCTAGTCAAATTGTACTGAACCGCAGAATCCCGGTTTGAACATCGTCTTTGTATGTTTTAGCCTCTTGTTGTATTTCACATCTACATATGGCCACTAGTCTGTAGCTGGCGAAATTGTGCTTGAAGGGAGTAGAGATTTTAATAAAAGAAGAGAATCCAAACTGCCCACGGAATACTTCATCGTTAATTATATAACAATGTTCTGTAAACAACTAGATTTTGTTAGTTATGTTTCTATTGTGGATTTCTACCACTCCAATTTCTAGAAAAAAATGTAACTAATATTAAGTACTTATAGATTAATAACATATATTAAATAATATTCCAGTTACCATATACACATTTCAATATGAAATTATTGTAACTTTACATTTAGTCTTTTTCATTTATATAACAGAAATGCTCTTAAATTGTTTGAATAAATTATTATAATTAGATAATGCATACTTATTGTTTATTTAAGGTTAATATAAGAAGTTTTTGTTTATAAAAATAATATTACAAATAATTAATGTTTAGAAAAAATAAAAATTAACGGATTTGAATAAAGTTTTCTTCGTCCATGATCTTGAATTTAAACTCCCTGAAGTTCGTCAGATCACAGGCCAAATATTGTACGCTCTGCAAATACAATTTGGACATCACCTGTGGAATAGGGCTTAGTTTTGCCGTCTTTGCCAACATATCATAGTAAGCATTCTGATCAACACCCATCAAATGAGCTTTCTGTTTCGTGTATCCCTTAGCAATTCTTTCTTCCAAGTCGCTCTTTTCGTCATTCAACATTTGGTCAAAGTCGGGAAGCTGCATTTTCCCATCCAAATAAGCAGTGAAAAATCTCGCCTGCAAAGAAAAAAATATTATAATTGATATAGTGTTGGAGAAAATTGATTAATTTACTTGTAAGTCAAACATTTGGAAGGTACACACGTTGAACGGAATACCGATCAAGCACATCGTCGGGTATTTGATGTTGATCAAATGCTTGTACAAATGTTGAACGTAGTTTTCGGTGA